CCGCCCCGCCCCGCTGCAACAAGATACCCAACGATCCTGCCCGAAAGGACCCCCACAGCCATCCGCTGCCTCTCATCCGCGCCCCCCCCTCCGCCCCGGCCCCCCGCCCCCCCAGCTTCCCGTACCCCTCGCTGGTCGCCTCCATCGGCATGGTCGGCTCATGGATCGCCTCGACCGCAGCCTGCAGCTGGCCCGGCCTCGTGCCGCGCCAGCCGGACACGGGGATTGGATTCGTGTTGCGAAGCGTGGCGCCGACGGGGCTGGCGATGGCGCTGGCGGTGTACCTTGGAAACCTGTCTTACCTCTATCTGTCAGGTGAGTGATTCCTGACTGCAGGGTATCGCGCTTGACTGCCGGCTGCGGCGGCAGAGACGGCGGTGGTGGGCGGCGGCGGGTGCCGCGACGGCGGCTGCATTCGGCACGCCGAGCGGGGGCGGCAAGAGAGGAGGGGCGGGACGGCCGGCGGCGCGGGGAGAAAGGGGGAGCCTGGTGGCTGTGGGGGCGGCAGGGCGCAAGACAAACCCCAATCACACGACTAGATCAACGCCACCGAAGCGCCCTTTTCATGGCGCTGCTGCTGAGTGTCCTCTCACCTTGCCACCCACCCCCCCCATTTCCCTCGCTCGCTGGCTCGTGCTGCTACTTCTTCGCGTCGGTGCCTCACCCTCCCCCCGCAGTCGCCTTTGTGCAGGTGCGTCGGCCCACCGCCGCGCCTTGACCGCGGCAGGGGGACGGGGCCGTTATTCGCTGCTGCCGGCCGGGTCAGGGGCGCACACAGCTCTATCCACCGGCGCGGGCCGCCCGCCGCTCCACCAGCCGCGCACGGCCGCACTCAGCAGGCGCCGTCGGCCCTGCCCCTCCGCTTCAAAATTCACTCTGCGCCCGTCCAGCTTCCTGCAAGCGGTTTCATGCCCCGCAACGACGCCCCCATGAAACCCCCCCGCCCACACTTTCCCATTCGATCCTGGCTCACCCAGATGCTGAAGGCGCTCACGCCGGTGGCCACCCTGGCTGTAGGCTGCGCCTTTGGCCTGGAGCGCGCCACCGGCCAGCTGTCCGCGTCGGTGGGCCTCATCACGCTCGGCGTGATGGGGGCGTCGTGGGGGGAGGGGCGGTTCAGCGGGGTGGGGGTCGCCGCCATGGTCATGTCTGTGGCTGCGGAGGCGCTGAGGCTCAACATAATGCAGGTGAGATGATCAGAAGTCGCGACCCAGGGTTTAGGGTTCGGCGTGCAGGATTTACTGTGCAGGATACGAGGGCAGGTTCAACCACGTATTGAAAGCATGCGTCCATGGCGCGCCTAACCGCAGAGCTTGCCTGTGATATCAGCCGCTGCGGCCGCTCAGCGGCCCGGGCCTGCACGGCACGTGGGCATGCAGCCCTCGTCGCGCTCGCGCCGCGGCCGTCCGGCTCCCCATTGCTGCTCCAGCACACCCCCTGAGCTCTGCCAACCCGCCACGCGCCTTCACCGTTCCCCGCCTGCGGGTAATGCATCGCATGCGCAGTTGCTGATGGCCAAGAAAGGGATGCACCCCCTTGAAGCCCTCATGTTCCTCGCCCCCGCCTGCGCCTTCTGGATGCTCCTCTTCGCGGCCTTCACCGAGCTGCCCCGCGCCCTCCACGCGGGCAGCTTCTCGGTAGCTTCCGCGCACCCGTGGCACTTTGCCGCGTCCGCCGTCGCCGGGTTTGCGGTCAACTCGACCGCGTTTGCGGTGGTCGGGTTTTCGTCTGCACTCACGCTCAAGGTGCTGGCCATTTGCAAGGACGTCGGATTGGTCGCGTTTGGGGCCCTCGCGCTACATGAGAAAGTGGGGTCCGGCCAGGCGGCGGGGTATGCCGTGAGCATCGCCGGCGTTGCCTGGTACAATTGGCTCAAGGCGCGTGGCGGCGGCGCCGCGGCCGCGGCGGCGGCAGCTGCGGAGAAGCTGCTGCCGGTCAAGATCCCCGAGCTGCTGCTCTCGCCCGCTGTCGGCGGCGGCGGCGGCAGCGCGCTGGGCAGAGGTCGCGGCGGCGGCGGCGGCGGCGGCGGCGCGGCGCTGCGGGCGCTGCTGGTGCGCGTGAGCGCGGGCGCGCAGCGGCTGCTGGCCGCAGGCGGCCTGGCGCGGCGGGGACGGCGGTCTGATGAGGAAGCGGAGGGGCTGCTGGCAGAGCGGCTGCCAACAATCGTGGAGCGGATCAGCATCGAGGGCACCGACGGCCGGGTCTCGGCCGCTTGATCTGGTGATCTGGAGATCTCCCGTGCCCGAGGTTGCCAGATCGCAGATGCTGGCTCGCGGGCGGCGGCAGTGGGTTGTCAGGAACGGCGGAAGGACCTTCAGCGTCGCCGGCACTGCTGCTGCTGCCGCTGCTGCTGCCGCTGCTGCTGCCGCTGCTGCTGCCGCTGCTGCTGCCGCTGCTGCCGCTGCTGCTGCTGCCGCTGCTGCTGCCGCCGCTGCTGCTGCCGCCGCTGCTGCTGCCGCCGCTGCTGCTGCTGCTGCTGCTGCTGCTGCTGCTGCTGCTAGGCGGCAAACAGCGGCATGTGCGCTTTTGTGAAATGTCGCTGGATGCCATGCAGGAGGCCTGTTGCTCATGGGAGCCAGGCGCCCCGTCCCATCCGCCCTGAGAACGGGCGGCTATGCTCTGTCCCCTTGCAACTGCAATTGCAGCTGCTGTCTCTGCAAATTCCGCACACAACGTCCGCCGGCAGCTGCCACTCTCTCGCTCCACGCGTTTTGCCAAGTGCCTCAAGCCACACTTGTGCGAACTGCTTGCACCGTTGCTCGATAATCTGGAAGCGCTCGGCGTGGCACGCGCTGAGCTCCCTCTGTTGCCCCTCATCCTTTTTTCTATCATCCATCTGCATCTGGCACACTTATTACTATGAGTCAAGGCGTCCCCCTCCCCAAATGCAGCTCTTCGCACCCACCAACCGCCCACGCGCCGCCTTTTGCTGACGACACTATTCCTGTGGGCTCACCTCGAGCCCGCAAAACATACAAAATTTTGACGATCCTGAGTAAATTTGATTTTGGCGTGGGCACGGCAGCTGAGCGGACGCGACTCTGCTGCTGGGAGTCAGCGCTCCTCTGGTGCGCGTGCTCTCGCAGTTGTGAGCCTCGCATGGCCGCTCGGCTCAAAACGCAGGTCACATTGACCTACCCGCAGAGCGGCTTTGAGAGCGAAGCAAACATCAGCGGCATTGGGGGTTGAGTGCACTCACAAAACGGGGCTGAATTGACTGCTGCAGGTCCAGTTGACATCTTGCGGCTCTCAATTGTCGGAACGGGGGCAAGGCCGTGCAGCCGGGGCATCGGAATGGGGTCAGAGGCTCTTGGCTACGGCTGGCCTTTGTTTTGTATCGAGCAACAGCCGAAAAGGGGTGCGCCAGGCCGGCATGGCTCTCGCCGGGCTTCACTGCCTGGGGGGCGGTTGGTCTGTTGGTCGGGGCTGGCGGTTGCGGTGGTGTCTGGCATGGGGCTGGTCTGCCTCGCCTACGTTGCATCGTTGCACAAGCTGGATGTGTCCCAGCTGGCCGCACTGCAGCACGCAAAAGCACAACAGCGGGCGTGGGTAGACGGCGCTGACAACAGAGTGCAAGGGTCACCAAGTGTCACCAGAAGCAACCGACACCAACAGCTGTCGCTGGAGCCTATACGGAGTCGAGTGCTACGAAGAATAAGATCAGGAAATAAACGAACGAGGGTTGCCGCGAAAGCGGGCCCTATGATCCACGTGCAGAACCGCGACACGATTCACTGAAGCTTTGTAACACTCAGGGTCCTTGCATAATCGTAGTGGGCAGCACATGCCTGCAGGCCGCCGCGCGGCCCAGCACGTTCCGCTGGCCAGCAGCCACTGTTGTGCTCCTGCTGCTCCCGCCGCTCCTTGATGCGCCGGCGCTGCAGGGCCCATGTCACGGCGCTACTCATACGACGAAGGGCCACGATACCCCGGATCCTTGGTTGTGACGTTTACGAAGAACCGAGCCCACGATTGGTCCGAAAAGTATGCGCAGCGCCGCAGCGGCAAGCCGCCCGGTGAGCCTGATGCCACGCCGCTGGCGTGGCCGCCGGCAGCCACTGCCCTGGAAGTCCCATGTATTTTTCGGGAATCAAGGAGGGGCGGGCTTCTGAGCCCTTGAATTGTGATCATGAAAACGAACTTCACAGAACCTGCTCAGCACAGCTCCCTGCTCTCTGTGACGCACACACACTCACACGTCCACACACGCGCGCGCAAACGCGCCCATACACGGCGCCCCATCCCGCGTAGGCGCACTCAGCCGCGCACGTGCGTGGCTGGCGCCGCGCCTGCTGCGGGTGGAGGGGTTGCTTCTGGGTGGCGCCGCAGCGCTGGCCATTGTCTGGTTTGGGGCGGAGGTGTACATGCAGGAGAGGATCGACGACCTGCACAGGTGCATTTGGTTTTCTTCAATTTTTAAATTGAAGTTTTGGAGGGAGGGCTCGTACAGCATTTTGGGAAGGATCTACAGGGATTCTTGTGGCAAAATTTGCCGAGCTGCTGCGAGCGAGAATGGAGTGGGGTGTGCTGGATGCACTTCAATCAGGCGCTTCCTGGGCGCGGCGGACCAGCGGGGCGGCTGACAGGGAGCTGCCGGGCAGCTGCTAGTGCAGGGGCGCCTGGCTGATGCCAGCCGTGGAGCCGCAGCTCGACCTGCCTCCCCAGTTCGTAGCCCGCACGTGCAGCGGGGGCCGACGCCTCTCCAGCTAAAGAAGCGTCATTAAAAATCTGCACGCACAGGCGCTGCGAGCGGCAGGAACATTACGAGGAGTCCTGCACGGCGTGGGCCGCTGACCTGGCGAGCTTAGAGGTGGGTCGCGTGATCTGATAGATCTGAGCGATCTGGATGATCTCGTGGAATGTGATCTATGGTCTGAGCTGCAAAACATGGAGGCCTTGAACCCAGAACCACGATCATGCACAACTGCAACCGCAAGGTCAGCCATCAGTGTGGACCGACTGGGTTGCCAGCCGCGCTGCCCCGCTCACTGCACTGCCGCGCCTCCATGCCGCAGCACTCGGAGCAGTTCTGGGCTCAGCAGGCGGCGGAGGCGGGGGTGAGGGCGGAGGTGCACGGCCTTTGGCTGCAGCAGCAGCGGCGGGAGCTGGAAGATGCACAGGCGGCAGCCGACCGCTGGGGCAGGTGGTGCGGCGAGCGGGGCAGCGGCGGTTGCAGCAGCAGCAGCAGCAGCCGCAGCAGCAGCAGCAGCGGCAGCTGCGGCAGCGGCGGCGGCGGCGGCAGCGGCGGCAGCGGCGGCCACGCGGGCGCCGGCAGCGATGGAGCGGAGCGTGGCCCCGCGGCCGCCCCGGTGGACAAGGCGCCACGCCCTTGGCTGAAGCTGTTGGCTGATCAGGGTGCATCCAAAGAAGCCAGAGCCCCATCCCCCGCGGCCGCCGCGCCGCCCGCGGCCGCCGCCCCGCTTGCGCCCCCGGACAGCGGCCAGCCGCCTGCGCCCGCGCCCGCTGAGCAGCCGCCGCAAGGCGGCCGCAGGCGAGCGCCGCGGTGGCTATGCAACTGGACGCTTCCAGGCACCGTCCGCCGGGCCGAGGCCGCGGCACGGGCGGTGGCCGCGACAGAGGAGGCGGTGGCGCATTGGGAGGGGGTGCGGCGCTCCGCCGCAGAAACGGTGAGTTAGCCCGGCTCGTGCGGCAAGGGGGGGCGGGGGGAGGGGTGGGCGGCGGCGGCTGCTATGCGCCAGGTGTGGGGGTGTGCATGGCTCGCGTCCTGTGATTGCCGGACGGCGGTGGCTGCAACACGACTGGCTGGCAATGCCGCCTGCGTGGGCTCTGTATTGCTGCTTTGCAACCACGGAAACCCTCGTCGGCGCTGCTGGCTGGTGTCAATTACACCCACCCGCCCTCGCTGCGACGCCGGCCGCCCCCGCAGGCAGCCAGCATGCGCGCCGAGGCGGAGCACCGCAGGCGCGGCCTCATGCGGGACGCGGCGCGCCTCGCGGCCTGGCGGAGCCTGCCCTGCAACCAGCAAGCGCACGCTTTCGTGGGCGGCGGCGGCGCCGGCGGTTGGTTTGTTGCGGCGGCGCTGCGGGTGCCTGTGTGGGTCTCAGATGAGATGGAGGCTGCAGAGGACGAGGTTGTGGAGGGCGGCTGGGCCGAGGAGGATGGGCAGCAGCAGGAACACCTAGGGCAGCAGGAGCAGCAGCGACAGCAGCTGAAAGGACAGCAAGGGCAGGAGCAGCAGTGGCAGGAGCAGGGCAGGCAGCAACAGCAGGTACATCAGCAGAGGCAGCAGCAACAGCAGCAGCAGCAGCAGCACCAGCACCAGCAGCAGCAGCAGCACCAGCAGCAGCAGCAGCACCAGCAGCAGCAGCAGCACCAGCAGCAGCACCAGCAGCAGGAGGAACAGCAGGAAAACCAGGAAGAGCAGCAGCAGCAGCAGCAGCAGCAGCAGCAGCAGCAGCGGCAGCAGCAGCAGCAGCAGCAGCAGCAGAGACAGCAAACCAGGAAGCAGCAGGAGCAGCAGGGCCAGGAGCAGCAGGTGCAGCGCCCGCGGCAGCAGGATGGAAAGCAGGACAGCATTTGCACACACTTGGCAGGTCCCAGCATCCCGGGCTTTTTTCGGGACTCATCTGGCGCCATACCGGCGAGTGTGCAAGCGCCAGCGCATGTGCCATGACAGCGGCATAATGGCATGTGCAGGCTGGGCAGTGCTGCCTGCCTGGTTTGTCAGTGTCGTGAGGCGACGTCTGCGCGTGTGTTTGGCCTTTGACCGGATGGTGGTGGATGCTGTGTTTGAGTTGCGTGTATAGGGCTTGACCCAAGAAAACTTTGGTGGATGGCTACATGCCGCGTCACCTGTGACCTTCTGTTGCATACCGGTGTATGCTTGGGCCGCCAACACGCTGTCCCCCTCGACAGCGAGGTAACCCTACCCTTCAGCATCAATGCTGCCTAGTTTTCCGCGGCGCTTCGTCTCATGACCTTTCAACCTGTCTGATTGTGCGTGGCACAAGCTTCCGCCTGCATTGTCAACCACCCCCGGTCCAGCATCCCATAGCAGCCAATGTGAAACCACAGTACGGTTCGTTACAAGCAGCAGTTTTTGGGAGCGTGACCGAGGCCGGGAGTGCTGTGTGGAGAGCACAGCGTAGGCAGCACATGGCAGCTCGAGAGCGTTGGTTGACATTAAATGGTAGGGAAGATTTCTTGGGGATTTGCGGTTGGTCAGGCAACACCAGCCCAACCCAAAACGCCCGTGAGATCGTCACCAGTAATTGCATGAGTCACCAAGATGTGCATTGCTCATCCATCGCGAAGCAGCGGGCGCGAACAGACACCGACAGCACTGGCGTGCGGGTGCGTGCGCCGCGCATGCAGCCCCTTTCATGCATAAAGTCTCAGAATTCCTCGGCGGCGGCAGGCGCCCGCTGCCGGACAGCCGCAAGCAGTTGATGCGCCGTGTGCAAGCGATAGGAGTACCAAAAGTAGAGATGTAGTCCAAGTGGCGGCAAGACGCGCCCCTTGCTTGGCGCGCAGAGCGCGATGAGCGGGGATGCAAGGGAAGAAGCACACAGTGCGTGCTAGAAGTGCCGCTGCCAACCGAAGGTTCGGGCCGCTGGCGGGCGGCAAAGTAGGGTGCGAGTTCAGAGCCTGGACTGCGCGTGCATCTTTCAAGCCAAGGGCCTGGTTGTGTCCATGCAAAGTGCCGGTGTCTGCGGGTTCCTCAAGTCCCACTGTGCGTCGCAGGCGGCGCGCGGACGCAGGCGTGCCGGGCGCGATGTGCGCAACTTCGCTCGGCCAGTCGCGCCGGACGTGCTTGCCAGCAATGACGATTGTTTGAAGGTGCTCGAAGTGGGCGGCGGCCAGGCAGGGATAGGCCAAAGTCGGGACCCTGTTCAGAAAGCCAATCCTGAAGTGGCGAAGTCGGCTGGATCCCAAAGTAGCAGGCCAAAAAGTTGGCGGGGAATGAACAGAGATTAGCTGATCCTCTCACTCTCGTCTTTCCGAGCTGCACGCCGGTCCAAACGCAGTCGCCTTGAAATTGCCGGTTGCGGGCGCCCAAGCGCACGCTCTATGTGCAAGTTTGGTGCGCCGCGCTAACCACAAGATACAGGAGGCACGGCACACCCCCGCGTGACAACCCCACCCCGGCTCAAAGGCCCGCACACGCACCCCGCGGCTCACAGTCCACAGTCCGCGGGCGGCGGACTGTGGCCGCCTCACTGCCTCCAGGTGTCGACATCTTTGGTGTCGTCGGTGCGGCCGGCAGGGGCGGGCTTGGCGGCGGCAGCCTGGCGGCCCTCTTTTGTGAAATTGGAGGCGGCCCACGCCGCGATCGCCGCGCGCTGCTTTGCGCTGAGGACGAGCCCGTACACGAGCGGCACGATGAGGACAATGGCGAGGAAGATGCCGGTGGCGATGAGGGGGATGTAGACCTTGTCGGCCGATCCGAGGATGAGGATGACGCCGACGAGGAGCCAGATCTGGGTTTGGGGTTGACGTGGGGGGCAGGAGGTGCGAGGGGAGGGTGAGCCATGGGAGTGCAGATGGGGGTGAGCACCAGGAGCATTCAAAGGCAGCGGGTTCGCATCCAATCACAGTTTCAGAGACAGTGAATTGAGGATTTTGCGTATGGGCAAGTTGATATGTCGCGTTGCAGGCAGCGGGCGAGCATCTTGGGCAGCCAGGGCCCACCACATGTGTCGGGGATCGACAAGAGAATGGTCACCCAACTCCTTTCTCAAACCCTGATCGGAATTGCGCAGATGAACAACCAGATCTGAATCGTGCTCACGTGGAACGGGGCGCCGAACTTGGCAAAGTCCTTGGTCCTGTAGCCACCCGCGGCCATAACCATCAGGTTGCTGCGGGATGTGCGGTGAGGGGCGACGGGGCAGGATTGCCCGTCAGGAAGGGGGTCTGGGAGGGGCGGGTTGCGCGTGAGACTGAGCGGCTTAATCTGCAGACTGTGCTGTCTTCAGTAGCCGCTGGCTGCCAGGCCTGATGGCTCACCACTGGTAGGAGTAGGGCAGGATCCAGCCAGCGCTGCCGCCCAGCATGATGGCAATGCTCATCATGTCCTGTTGTTATGGGCAAAGAGTGGGTGTGGGTGTGGTTGGGGGTGCGGGGATAAAGAGGGGATCATCTGCGTGGTGGGGTGCAATGTGAAGCTTCGCAGCAAGCCCGCACGGCAACAGCCGCCAAGCTCAGGGCTGGGGCTGCCCTCTGTCCCCGGGCTCTCAACTTGGGGGCACACGACGACGGTTCAGAGTCTAGACTTGCACTGCTGTCCCCTGCCTTTGTTGTTTGTTCGACGGCCCCGAGGCGGCCGGGCGGGCTCACCATGTTGATGGCCAGCTTCTTAGCCAGCTCAGCAGCGATGGGGAACCTGGGGATTGAGGGGGTCACATGAGGGGCGACGGGGGGTCACATGAGGGGTGTTGCTACCCCTTGCAATAGACTGAGAACGCCAGAACGCCAGATTCAAGTCCCACCCAGATTCCCCCCCCCCCCCC